TAGAATGATGAATCCTAACCATTGCATTACCAAAACTGTACTTACATTCATGTAATCATACAGCCGTTCTGAAGCAGTTCCTACGGATAAAGCAATATCTGCAGGGAAGCAGTGCAGGTACCTCCGGGCAAAAACATCAGGGTGGTGATTCCTCCAGAATTCTTCTAATTCTCCCTTTTCCTTCAGCTGTTTCTTGATAGATTTGAATCGAATCAGGGGGATTCTATGCAAATAAAATAAACACAAAAAACAACTGGTTCTCCTTTCTAGAACTCTCATATACTCTTTCTTTAAAAAGAATGTTTCTTTTCTTGAAACCTCAGGGAGCATCATGCACAGGTCATCCTGGAAAGCCAGATGAGACATGCACTAGGATGCCAGTTGTGTTTTCTTACCGTTCCACTGCCATGATGAATGGGATATAAACCACAGCCAACAGTATCACCTTCATAGCTCCAAGTGGTTCAGAGTCTAATGACACTCCTTTGCTCAGAAGTCCCTTTTTTATGGCCCTTTGTTAGCAGAGGGCTGTTTGCCAGGTCAATCAATCACAGGAGGTCAGTGCTTTGGCAGAAAACTGATTAATTTACTCTCAGAGCAAATTGTGCAAATAGTGGTGACCAGTAGAGCTACTCAGGCACAGATAACCAGGGCACAGCCTAGACCAAGCAGACATTTTACCAGAAGTCCTTAATGTCTTTTACATAAATATGGAGTGATCTTGGCTCCTGTTAGCACGGGAAAGAGGAATCAGTCCAAGGACTTGCTGCTTTGCTTTGAGAAGTGGCTTAGAAGTGTTCAGCGCAGAGAAGGAGAGCATAACACATAACCATTTCCCTTTGGCATGGAGACATTTCAGGAGTGCTGAGCAGATGGACATTTGATGGACTTGTGACAAGTCATTCCCTAACAGCTGAAGTTTAATTCCTTATTTATGGGAGATCACCTGTCTAAACATAAATGTAAATGGGTCTTCAAAGTAAAAAACGTGACAGGCTGCAACATACAGTAATAAACTGCCAGTAGTTTTGTACACATTTCAGCAAGACATTTGGAAGAGCCCACTTGGATTTATTTTCCTTCAGGTTTCCTGAGGTTAGTGGCTCCCAGCCCTGCCTGACTCTTGGGTTCTAGTCAAGCCTGCTGAAAAATAATGGTGTCAAAAAGAGACTCTGATCTCACAGAGCGCAGCCCCAAACCCGTTAGCTGCCTGGGAGGAAGCTCAGCACTGAGTCTGCAATCTACTTACGAGACTCTTGAATCTTTCCTCTGCACAAGAAAGTGCAGTAAGCTACCACATACTGCATTTGAATCATCAGCCATTTTTTATTCAAAATACTATGGTAGGATGATGGGAAAAGAGCAACAACATTTTTTCCCCTGCAACACAACATTTATTTAAAACAAAGTGGTCACCATGTGAAGGTGACCTGGAACTAAGTAATCCTCCCAAAAGAGAGCAGATGTGTGACAGCACATAGCAAAGAGTGAATATCAAGGACGTAGAGGAGGCAGGAGTGATCATCTGCACTAGCAACTAAGTTCCAGGTAAAAAAACCCAGCAGAAAACCCCAAACACACAGTGTTTGTGAGCAAAGATGGAGTGTATAAATGCCTGTCATAGACTTCATGGAAATGTAATGCAAACCATTATCAGCATATACTAAAGAAATTCTTAAAAATTCTTCCATTAATTCTCTTCCCTTGCTATGTCAGACTGATTGAGGAGGAGCCTGAGAGCCTTAAAATCAACAAGTTTATAGCTCTATTCATTAGGATCCTGGATTTTGAAATACATGGTTTGCTTTTTCAAGCACACTTCCAAAACAAATTCAGCAAAGGCTGAACTGCATGTCATCATACAGCTGTGTGCAAAGCTTTGGATCTGAAAAAGCAGCAGCATCTCTATTATAATACTTTGTATCTAAAAAAAATAGTCAAAAAAATGCAGCCTTTATATTGATTACTATTTCATCAAGATTTTTTTTTTCAATCATCTAGCTCTGAGTAATATTCCCTATTTCTTCTGGGCTCTGAGGTTTTACACAAGTTCTCAGCAAACAACCACGTTTTCTGTCCCATAGTCATCCCAGCCACTGAGCTGCAGGAGCTACGTGCTGGAAATGAGAATGGTGAGCAAAGATGTGGCCATTTGTGAACTTACAGAATGCAAAGGCATTTCTCAAGGAGCCTCCACCTGCCACCTGATACAGAGCAGAGCAGATATCATGCTCCTGGGTAGAGCAGTGTCACTTTGACAAGAGCAAGACGATGTCTGTGCTGAGTGCCTTTATCACTTGAACTTTCCCTCAAATGCCACAAATGCTTCAGGGAAGTCATTAATGTTCATGTTGGAGGGCATCATGATAACTTTGAAGACGTGAAGTGGCTTTCAAAACAATGCCTGGGTCTACTGAGGAGACTGCCTTTGCCTTAGAGCCTCCACTGAGTCACTGATTCTCAGAAAGAACATGATTGTTCATTTTACTGCAAATATAGCCTTTTATTAATCCATGCATGAAGGTTATTCTTTCCCAAATTCTCTGATCTCACAGAATGTTCCAAGCAGACATTCATTCAGCCAACAGAGGTACAAAATGCAGCAACAAAAGGTCACCATGACTTTTTTTTGATAAGCTGGAATAATGATTAAACTCCAATGCAGATGATCCCTAAGAAATAGGTATATGCAGCTTAAATGTTCCATTCATTAGAAATAATTCAAGTGGAAAAAATATATCCTTATCTGTGTCTCTAGACATAAGGTACATTGCAAAGTTATTTTTCTACGTATGGATTGCTGAGAAAAATATGCCTAAACTATATTATTCCCTAGGCTTTTACGTTGTTTTGATTTGCAGGTTATCTGAAAAGACTTGTCTAAGGGACATGTATTTGCCATTCATCATTATTTATGCCAAATGCATTTGGTTTTCCACTCCTATAGCCTACAGTACCTTAAGGGGAGGGATCCTTGACTTTTAAAGGTGCCACAGCTGCTTAAAAATCAACATAAATATAAAAACCTGCTGAATGGGACTTTCTTAAAAGTCAGATTGCATTCCAGGGTAACTGCTTCAAAAAGGGTGCCCTGCAAAATCCAGGAATGATGCATGCCCCACAGTGGTCCTTAGACCGGGTATGTAGTGTTAAAGCAGTAAAGAAGTGGCTAGTTGGAGATGTTCATTCAGTGCAAACTTACTCTTGCTGCTGGGATGCCATGCACAGCTCACCTCACCTTCCATCATCAGAGACAGAATTTTTAGTGCACAACAGATGACTGCAACGTTATCTTTGTCCTCCAGGCTTGATAGTCTGCCCAGCTCCTCCACTCAAAACCTATTTTATGCCACTTGGGTCTCAACACTCACTGTTCCCTGTCCTGCTGTAATACTGTTTCCCAGATGCCCTCTCTGTTCTCCCCCCCAGGGAAGCTCTCCATACCTTTCATTGCTGCATGGCTCAGCCTCTCATCCCACAGGGAAAAGGCTAGCAAACATTCTATAGTCTATACCAAATTGATAGCTAAGATCTGCTTTTCATTTGCATAGTAGATTTTCTCAATCTTCTGTTTGCTCTGTCCTTTGCTTTTCCAAGAGTGCGTGGCTCTCAACAGTCAGATTTTGGCAGTGTAGCACCTAATGCCCAGAAACCAACTGCAGATTGTTTAAACAAACTATTCTCCCTGAACTGTGGTAAGCATGGAAAATGACAGGAATGAGCTGCAGATATCAAAGCAGAGTCAGGTGCTGGAAAGGCTATTTCACCTTAGAACACTCTGCTGGCTTTCACACCCAAAGTCCATGGTACAGCCATGGCCAACAGGCAGGTAGGACAATTATAGAAGGGTTTGGATTGGAAGGAACCTCAAAGATCACCTAGTTCCAACCCCCCTGCCATGGGCAGGGACACACATGAACCCCCAAGAAAGCTCAAGCTCTTGAGCTCAACTGCTCAGGAAGTCAAACTATGCAGAGGTTCCTACTCATGGAAATGCTCCTCCTAGAAATCAGGAGTACTCCAGACCTGAATAGCAATGCATCTTGCTGGGAGGAGGGGAACAGTTCACACTGTCACATTAAATAGCCATAACTTTTAAACATCATATTTACCTCATTCATAACAAGTGAGAATCTTAATGGAATTAAATCCATGGGAGCCTCTTGGCAGGTTTTGGTACAGACAGGGGAAATGCAGTAGCACAGTTGAAAGGTAAATGGAGAACAGCCTTGGCAGTTTGTGATAGCACATTTCATTAGACAAAAAGTAAAACGTAATGAAAAAGGCCCTACACAGTCAAGAGTGCCAGAGGCTCTAGAAAATACCGTTAAATTAGGAACACAAATAGTAGAACAGCTCAAGATAGCAGTTTGCCAAGTATTTGTGTTAAAACTGTAAGATAAGTACTGGGCGGCAAGTTACACTTTGAAATTATGTATTTGGCACCTTGCAAAATAAATCCCTGAAAGTGCCCCTCATCTGGAAAGTCAATCAAGTCTTGACAGGTATTTTAAACAACATTCTGATTATATCTGACATTTCTGCTGAAAGTTTCATGAAAGTTAAATATCTGAGTTTAAAAATTTGATCTTCTGTGGTGTTTATTTTCCCAATTCAATCCCCACTGCCCACACTGGCTGCACAGACAACACAGCCAGAGCAAGAGGTGAAGGGCTGGGACCTTGCAGTGACTGTTTGGGGCAAAATCACAGAACATTTACAGTGTGCAAGAGGCAGGAAGGAATGTTTCCAGGGATGGAAGTGAGTGGGAGTATGGGTGAGAAAGGGAGACCTGTGCTCTGAGTCGCTCTGTCTATAATCCTCATCACCAAACACTCATTCGGTTATCAGAAACATTTCAGAGCCCTTACATGGCTGGTGCCATGTAAACAGAGCCTTATATTGGGAAGACAGAGTTACCAGCAGGTCAGTGCACAGCAGGAGACCAAGGAGGGCCCGTGTCCCTCACAGTCCTGGCCATCCCAAAACGAAAGCCCAGGATGGGCAACAGTCTGAAAGCCATAGTTGCTTTTGTGCCCTCCAACAGGTGCCAGAAGTACCTCCTAGAAGAGCTAGAAGAGATGCCGGTGGATAAAACAGTGGATCTGAGCGGGAGCCAGCTGAGGTGGCTGCCTCTGCACATTTGCTCTTTTAGGGAACTGGTTAAACTGTACCTGAGTGACAACAACCTGAACAATCTGCCCCCCGAGCTGGAGCAGCTGCAAAACCTGCAGATCTTGGCACTCGACTTCAACAACTTCAAAGCGCTGCCCCTCGTGGTGTGTACGCTGAAGCAGCTGTGCATCCTCTACCTGGGCAACAACAAGCTGTGCAGCCTGCCCATCGAGCTCCGGCTCCTGCGGAACCTCAAGACCCTGTGGATCGAGTCCAACTGCCTGCAGTACCTGCCCGAGGTGGTGTGTGAGCTCAGCCTGCTCAAGACGCTGCACGCCGGCTGCAACGCCCTGCGCACGCTGCCGCCCCAGCTGCGGTGCCTGCGCGAGCTGCGCACCATCTGGCTCTCGGGAAACCTGCTGACAGAGTTCCCCGCTGTGCTCCTGGACATGCCATTTCTGGAGGTCATCGACGTGGATCGCAATTCCATCCGGTTCTTCCCCAGTCTGGCTCACCTGCCCGGCCTGAAGCTGGTGATCTATGACCACAACCCCTGCAGGAACGCGCCCAAAGTGGCCAAAGGTGTGCGCAGGGTGGGCAGATGGTCAGAGGAAACCCCTGAGCCCCGCAAGCGATCCGGGGCAGTGATAGACATCGACAACAAACCCTTGCTACCTCCTGCTGCCAAGGCAAAGCCGGGCGGGCCCTGCTGATGCTTGACCGCCCATTCGGGCAAAGGTGGCCGTGCACTCACACCGCCACCCAAACTCTACCTCTCCCTTGCTCGCTGGTGTCCAGGGAGCACCACAACACCTGGCTAGTCTTCAGTAGGTGCACCAGCTTGGAGCAACAGCAAAACTCTCCTACAGACACCCCACTCTGCACAGCACCCAACACTCTAGGGAGATTTCCTCCCCCCTCCCATACAGGGACCACTCAAGTTCACAGCAGAGATGAACACTCAGTTGTTTTCCATGGGTGGATTGTACAGAGCATGTATGGACTTGCTGCTCTTCACTTGGGGCTCACTCTTCTTTCCACCTTGCTGAGGTGTCTGAGCTCAGCTGGAAGCTGCTGTTCAAGGTGATCACTGCTCAGAGTCACAGCTCTAAAGCAACCCACAGCATTTGTCTCAAACGACTTACCTGAAACACAGCAACGGCTTGGAGGTTTCCCTGCCTGCCACATGGGAAGTGGTGGCAGATCCCAGGCTGCACTATCAAGGAAACAGCATATACATACCAGGGAGCTCTCCTCTCCTCTTACCACTGCTGCCTTCTTCCTGGAAAATTTGCAACAACTTCATTTTGCTATTGCTGAGCAGCATTTCAAACGATGGTGAGGAAAGCCAGAGGCTTTGCTGTACTTTTGTTACTGACAATTCTGCCTGTAAGGTCAGCTGTACAGGATGAGTTTTCGTGCAGCAGCAAGAAGATCAAAGCCTGACTGAAACAGAAAACTCACAAGAGCTGCAAAGGTAAACTTGCATGAATAAAACCCAGGGCTGGGAGTCTGCCACTATAGGCTTGCACAGAGTCTGAAGCAGAAGCAAACTTTACTCAGCTGATTTCAGCTGGCTATTTCTCCAGTTTGCAACTCAGCCCAGCTCAGACACCCTTCACAATGCACGGAACTTTTCCTTTTTTAAAAAAACTTCGTTTTAATTGAGTAACACAGAAATCTGGCTCAAAATTACATTTTAAACTTGATTCTGTAGTACAGATTATTGAATTTGGTGAAAGACAACTTTTTTTAACAAAGCTGGAGAGCCCTTGGTGGCACACTCTTCAACTGGAATGGGCTCACCAGTGCAGCCTACAGAAGCAGCAATTGACTTCCCAGAAAAGGTTTGATTCCATGCCAGTTTGTGACTGCTTAATGTCATCTGCATGCTTTAAAAATTATGTGGAAATATATAGATTCTCCTAGAACTTGTTGTCTTATTAAATGAAATCCAAATTTGGATCTGGCTGGCACCCATGTAGCATGCTACTAGTCAAATTAAATAAAGTATACTAACAGCTTGCCAAGTTAAACCATCCTTCTTTGGAATTAACAGAATTCTATCCAAATTTTTCATCTAATCTAGTTTCAACAATTTCTTCCTACAAAAGGAAAGGAGGACAAGAGTTGGAGGCTGTTTTAACATCCAAGGTCAATGTTTTATTTCCCACAGACCCAGTAGTGCATTTCTCTCAGGGGATGGGCAGGAAGGTTCTTTCAGCAGCCTGTCAATGATTTGTGTTTCACACACCACTCTCCACACAGCGTTGTCACTTCTGGAGGGCTGAAGGGTAAACTGTGTTGAGTTCAGAGGAGCATTCTGCAAGCAGATTCCCCTCATTTTAGGAAACTTAAGGGAGAAAAATGTTTGCAGAGATACTTCACTTCAAACTGACCGTTCTGCTTTGGCAGGCTTGCCCCGGTGTTTGCCAGGTGCTGCACTATACTTGCAAGCACCAGGTGGGTCACAATGCCTGGCAGGCACCTCTCTGGGCTCCCACACAGACAGAGCCTCCACTAGTGCTTACAGTCGTCACCAATGTGCATCCAAACTCCTGCACACACCACAGACTTCCTCACGACCCAAGCAGAAAGAAACTAGTCCCATTAAGTAACACATTGCCTTTGCAGCAACTACTAGAATAGGAAATGGAATATAAAGACAGGCTACAACAGACATGAGGCAGGAGGGAAGTGAATGCAATGCAGCCTGGCACATTTTCTGCTAACTGCCCTCTATTACATGTATTTCTGAAGTCAACCAGAGCCCAGTACTGTATAGTTACACACTCAGACCTTTTGGTCCAGAATGTTGCTCTCTCTCCCAAACTGCATCTTCCTCTCAGTCCCCCTTACCAGGAAATCCTATCTGTGTAAAATTTGTGGTGTAAAAAGCTGTAAAATCACTTAGTTCATGTTCTGGGCAATGACTAAGGTTCTTCTTCAGCTTCTTCTCTTCCTTTCATCATCAAAAACCGTGAGTAGTACCCCATTACCTCTAGAAGATACCATCTAACTTCAGAGCCTACTTCTAGGATCCCAGCTCAAAACCCATGCAGCCAGGACTGGAACACACCACTTACACTAAACATACCAGGTCAACCTGAACTCATGAGCTACAAAGGCCTGGTCTCTGCCCAAAGCATCTGAGGCCTGAGGCTGTGCACCACAGCCATCCTAATGGAACTGCCCTTCCTGGTTCTACATAAAGAAATACTACTTTGGTGAATCTGAATTTTTTAAATTTTTTTATTTATGTGCATTTTAAGTGGAACCTGGAGAGGAACAGAAAGAATAGGGCTGCATAAAACTCCCGTTCTACTTGAAAGCGAATTCTTCCCCACAACACACAGAAGCTCCACTGAAGACAGTGCCACTGATGGAGATCTGCTTGTCTCAAGCTTCTGTTCCATAACCTCACAAAAACTAGATCATTAAAAAAAACTGCTAGGTGAGATCTGGTCCACACAATCCTCAGGTACTGAAGACAATTTAACACGGGCGATGGTCTGGTACACGTTTTCTGGGGAGAAAAAGAAAAATCAGAAAATTCCCATCCATGCTGGTGTCCACCAGCCCCTCCCCAACCACCCTTATTTTTAATCTTTTGTTGATAATTTGTGTTCAGTGCCAGCTTTATCTCACAGCACAAAAAGCAGTATCACCTCAAAGCTAAACGCACTGAATTTGACCATGGTAAAAAACCCTGTGATTTAAAAAGCAGTGCAAACTACCTGGTAGCAGGCACACATGGGACAACCTGCCTTTGAGCAGCATTTCTTCCCAAACTTCTTAACAAACATGGTTTTTCTTTAGCTGCAGATTCTACCTCAGAAGCAGCTGGGCATTTCACTACAATTCTTGCCAAAAGGACAAAAAAAAGAAAGCATCATGATCCCTTACTTTTCAGTCAGCCAGTATTTTAGGGCTGTATGTGACACATGAGTAACTGCTGACCTATGATTAACTAGGCATTGCTTAGGCACACCAATTTAAGCTCACTGGTAGCTCTAAAGGCCTGACCATGCAGCTAATGCAATATAATCTAACATGAATGTTAGCACATTAGACTTCATTTCATATAAAGTATTTTTAGAACAAGATTTTTCTGCACTGTTACTCTTCCACAGGAGGAGGTTACTCTATACCACTGTAACTGATCATGCAGATACTCAGATCATACCTTGGTGCTGCTTTAATGATGTCATCTACACGAAGAATCATTTCTGCTGCTTCAGCTGCACTCAGCAAAACTTGCCTCTTGACTTGGAAGCTTTCTGTTACTCCCAAACGTGACATGTCTCCAATGGTACCCTCTTTCATGTCTGGAAGAAGAAACACATTAAGAGGTTGCTGCTTTTTTTATAACTTGGCCTGTTTTTAAGGAAATTACAAGAAGCTGAGAACACAGCAACTTCCCTGCTCAAATGAACCACATTGATAGTAAGGGAAGTATTAAATAAACTCTTTCACCTCAAGGCTCCTGATTTAAGCCTAACATGCTGCAATTACATACAAAACATTAACAATGAAAATTGTATACACTGCAAAGAAGAGACAAAGTCCCAAGAGGACTCTCAGTACTATTCCCTTAGGTATATCAACTTCCGAGTTTTTCTCCACAACTTTGTGGCTGGGTTTTTTTAGGGGGTAGAGGGGAAGGGGACGAGGGGCAGGATGTGCTTGGTTCTGCTAGGTTTTTGTTTGTTTGGTTTTAAATCAATGCTTTTCTTTTAAGCTTCATAAAGCTAGACTTGAAGTAAAGAAAGTCAGTTTTAGAGGTGGAAACCATCCTCTTCAAAAGCAAAGGTTTTCACTCTACTGTCAAAGGTCTGGTAGAATGATAAAGGAATCAAAATACTCAGTTCTCCCAGCTCAATGTAAGTGACAAGACACATGTGACCAACTTTAATGAGCCTAACTGGCCTCGCAAACAGCAATTAAATCACAAAAGTAACACTGAGCCCCTTACCCAGTCCATAAGTAGTCTTCCCTTCACTGTGAGCAGCTCTGAGCTGAGCAACCAAATCAGCACTGTCATAGCCAGCATTATCAGCTATTATTGTGGGGATCTAAGGGGATAAACAAAGGTTGTTTTTAATTAACACAGGGACTGATCCCTAATAAACATGAAACATACTTTGATATAACCAGTTTACAACCTGAATTTCAAGAAGAGGCTTCAAAAGCATGGCAAATGATCTGCTACAATGATCAGAAGACAGGGAAAAACAAACAAAAAAACAAACCACCTTTCTATGGACTTTGTTTAAGACCCTGTTGTGAGAAAGTAGCTGAGAGGACAAAAGGGTGTTAGCAGATTTGTCAGCTCATTTCACATGGACAGAAAAAAAAATTAAAAATCTTTTGTCATTTCAGACTACAACTGGAGAAATGTTTTCATTTTAAGAACACAAGCTTGCTGGTAAGCATTAACCACCTCATCATCCTGTTCACTGTTTCAGTGACAACAGTGAAAACCTGCACATCCTGACTGAAGAGGTAATGCCAAGTGCTACCATGCTCTTTAATTTAACTCTTTTGTGAGAAATGTTTTCCTATAGCCTTTCATTGCCTAAGAAAGGTTTTCCATAGTTTAAATTACAGGAAGGCATTTTTTTCCTCAAATCAGTCTGTTAGCACAATAATATTCTATAAACATTTCTTGTGACACTTACTTCCTACTTAGACACGATCTCCAATGGAAGCC